TTGTCCTCATCAAAGCCGGTCCAAGGGGGCCTGAGATGGGAGAAGAGAGGCAAACAGGAAGTGTGTGGACTGGGGTGACACGAAGTTCTCAAGGCAGCCCCCACCCACGTATTGGGCGATGGATGCACCCTTTCTGCCAGCGGGGTGTGGCCCGTGCCTCTTCGAGAAGCACAGGTGTGGATAAAGCTCAGGGAACCTGGAGCTCGGCACCCGCAGGGGAGAGGTGCAGGAGCCCAGGGCCTGGCTGTGGATGTGGAGCTTTGAGATCCTCGGTGTTGGTCACCTGCTGCCCCAGCTGGCCCGTCCATTGTGTAGCTGTGGGGAGGCCGCTGGCCCTGGCCAGCTGGCTTATTCTGGATCCGCATCCCACTGCCTAGAGTGCCAGGGGCTATAAATACAGGAGCCACTTACAGGGCCAAACGAACACGGGGAATATTTTGGTGTCGGGAGGGAAAACGATCAGAAAATAAGGATTAGCCAACTCAGGAGTTTTCACTTTTTTTTTTTTTTTTATACCATAGCCCATAGTGAGAAATAGTTTCTCCATTATCACCCAGAACACTCATGTACTAATCATTAGTAGCTAATGTATCAGCTGAAACATAAGTTCTGTGAAAATGATCATTGTACTCTGGCATTTTATGTTGTATTTTTATTATTTTATTTTAAAAATTGTGCAGGGTGCGAAACACTAATTTATTTCGTCATCTATAATAATACATGGGTTAGACCCACAGTTTGGCAAGAACACGGGTTAGGTGGTAGGAAGCTGAATGTATTGAAAAGGAGGTGCTGCAAGAACCCCCTGCAGCCTTTTTTACAGACACTGTTTTAATTAGTTGGTTTTAATGACTTCCTTAAGAAATATCAAAAGTTGATTATTAAACATTGACATATGTAAAGTTTCATACACATTTTGACAAAGTTCAAGTGAAGGGGAATGTCATCAGTATGCACTGAACACTGATGTGGCTGGGGCTACCTTACTTGTTTAACAACAGTGCTTTTTCCCATTTCCACGGGCAGAGGTGCCAGGTCCTGATTTGGGGCAGCTAAAGTAAGTGCTGAGCAGTCTGGGGGTTGGGGTGAAGGTAGAGGATCAAGTCATGAGTAATCACAGCTCAGGAAGAGGGTCAGGGGTCAAGGCAAAGGGTACCAAGGTAAAACCCCCAGGTCTGGACTAAGCCAGATTCAAGATCAGTGAGCCAGACACCGGGAAGTATATATGATCTGACAATTTTCTATTTATTCAGCAGATGCCTGGTATTGCTGGGCCCTGGGGACAATACTGACACGAGATAAATAATTTATATCTTCTAGGATCTTCAAGCAGAGACCAGAGGAATAAGGAAGTGTTAGCCAGGTGAAGAGGGTAAGGGAGGGGCAGCAGCAATGTGTAAGGGTCCAGAGCAGGGAGGCCTGCCTTTCGAAGCACCAGAAGCATTACAGAGTAATTAGAATGAGGATGGAGATACAAAAAGAGCCGGGAGGCCCCGAGCCTTGGCATTTATCCTAAAGACTAGAGGAAGCAGTCTGAGGGTTTTAAGCAGAGGAACGATGCTGTCAGATCCATGGGCACTCAGGGCAATGCCTGAGGGGGTCGGGAGTCTAGACCTGAAAGATCTGAGGAGCGTGCAAGCTACGTGTGCTCAGCCTAATGCAGGGTGGAGCTCATTCGTGTCTTAGACAACTGTGTATCAAGGGCCTGTTGTGTTCCGGGCCTCTTCTGGGTGTTGATGCTGCGGAGTTCACTAAGGCAGAGATCTCGCCCCATGGAGTCTCTTTGCAGTGGGGGAAGACAGACAGTAAATAGACAAATTGTAGTTCTGCATGATTGAAGTGGGTAGTGGTTGTCGGGGAGCAGTGTGGGAAGGCTGGAGAGGCCTGGCCCTGAGGGGGCCTCTCCATTGTGTGCTATGGGCACCTGAAAGCTTTCATAGAGGGATTTTGTGATGACATGTGTGCTTTAGAAAGATCCCTTTGACACCCATATGAAGAATTCGGCAAAAATAATCATATCAGCCAACATTTTGAGCATTTACTATGTGCCAGGTGCTCTTAAGTGTTTACCTGTCAACAATTTTAATCCTCACAAAAACCCTATGAGGTTGTGTATTAATACCCTGCTGGTGCTGCTGCTGCTGCTGTAATACGTTGCCACGAACGTTGTGTTTAACACAGCGCAGATGTATTATCTTACAAGTCTGGAGGTCAGAAGTGCTGAAGTCAAGGTGTTGGCAGGACGACATGCCTTGTGGAGGCTAGGAGAGGATTTACTGCCCTGCCTTGTCCAGCTTTTAGAGGCCCCTCCTCCATCTTTAAAGCATCATTCCAACTCCTGATTCTTGTTCCACTACCTTTCTAACTAACTCTGCTACCTCCATCTTACAAGGACCCTTGTAATTATATGGGGCCCACGCAGACAGTCCAGGATAATTACCCCATCTTAAAATCTGTAATTTAATCACACCTACAGGGTCCTTTTGCCATATAAGGTAACAGACTCACAGGTTTCAGGGATTAGGATTGGCAGCTCTGGGGAAACCATTCTTCAGCTTGCTACAGGTAGGTACTATCTCGTTTTAGACACAGAGACACTGAGCCTCAGACACATTGAGAAGCCTGTCCAACGTCACAGAGCAGCTACTGTGGAGTTCTCCTGGGCCTTGTTCAGCCCTCACTCTGGCCATGGGCTTTCAGAGAAGCTTCTCTGGTCTCAGGGTAAAGCTTTCCCCTCTGGTCCTCTGTTCCAGGAGCTGTGAAGGCAGCTGACTATGTGTGTGGGAACTTAGAGTCTTGAGGGGAGAACAACAACTCGCAGCGGGCTGATTGAGTGCCTACTATGTGCCAGGCACGGTGTGTCCACTAGAGGACAGGGCAGGCAGTCCTAACCCCTGCCTTCTTGGAGTCTGATAAGCATGACTGAATAAGCACGCTAACCGTTACATGGTTTCAGCCTGTGACATTCCTATCGCTGCTTCTAGGCCATTTGGCTGAGATCGAGTATAGTATCAGACTGTGACGTTCCTGGGCAGGACAATAGGATGTGTGGGCCGTTGTTCCAAGGAGGCCTGCTCTTGTCTGATGGGCATGGGGGAAAGTTTCTGAGGAAATGATTTCGCAGCAACCCAAGGACGTGCTGGATGAGGACTGAGGGCATGTGAGGGCTGGGATTTTGTCCTACGTGCCATGGGGTACGAAGGAAAGGACTGATGAGCTTTCAGAATGTGACATTGTTTAAACCAGAGCTTTGAAGTGCGTGTTGGATCTTTAGGGGACCTTACAAAGTCCTCTAGTATTTGTACACGTTCTTTTATTTTTTAATATATTTTTATTGATTCAGAGGAAGGGAGAAGAAGAGAGATAGAAACATCAATGATGAGAGAGAATCATTGATTGGCTGCCTCAACCAGCTAGAGCTGTAAACGTTCTTCTTGAGTCCGCAGGCCGACGCTCTATCCACTGAGCCAAACCAGTTAGGGCTCCACGTTCTTCTTAAAGGAACAAATAGACCAACAGTATGTCTTAAATTATCATTCCTTACATCCAAGCACAAAACTAGTGTGAATTCCTCTTGCTTATACCACATAGAGATAATAAAACCAAAATAAATTTACAGATTAAGTACAAATAAAACTAAAGTCAATACAATCCTAGTTAAAATATTAATTACAGGGCTATATTTTGTTGGAGCTAAAATGCTGTTTCTGGGTGGCTGTAAAGCCCCTTTTCCCTGTTCAAAGTGATGACTTGATTCACCAAAACTTCCTAAACTTCCAAAACTTCCCTGTTTGCTGAACTGAAACTTTCCTGGGATAAACTGGCCTTGTTTGGGTCTAATATATCCTTCACCTGTAAAGTGTATTTCTGCTTTTTATTAGGCCAAGACATTGTAAGAGTATAGCCTGGTATCAAGGCAGTTGTTAAGAAAATACAAACACTGGCACTGAAGTTAATAGGAACCTAAAGTGTGCGTCAGCACAGTTTATAAAGTGATTCACAATAGGCTTATCTTAGGGGTTTTTTTTTAGGTTGTCACTAAGTGAAACACTAATTTAAAACACTCATGGAAAACTTGCAAATCCCCCAAATACTTAGACCCAGAGCCACAGGGGCTGTAAGGAGATGATTACATTTGACTAATGAGAAAACAGAAACTGGGAGAAATACAGTGACTCATGCCAGTCACGGGGACTGAATGTAGAACACCTAGGATTAGAACTCAAGCTTCCCGAGTCCCCAGTCTAGCCTTCGCTCTGGTTTGCATCTCCAAAGCCACCCTGCCCTGAGCCTGCACCAAGTCCCAGGCCTCTGAACTGCCTTGTCAAGACCCCTTTCATTTCCATCCCATGGACTGACCTGATGGCCATCCTCTACCCTCCAGCCTCTTTCTCCTCCCACCCCTTTCCTTTCCAAGGTTACCTTCTTAGAATCAATCTGACCTGGGAGTATTCCAGGCACTTTTTTTTTTAGATTTTTTAAAAATATGTTTTTATTGATTTTAAAGAGGGGGGATAGAGAGATAGAAACATTGATGAGAGAGAAACATCAATTGACTGCCTCCTGTATGCCCCCTATCTGGGTTTGAGCCTGAAATCTGGGTATATGCCCTGACTGGGAATCAATCCTGTG